ATATATAACTGATAAGGTACTATATATATAACATATTATAACTTATCAAGAAGGTTACAACAGCACCGATGTTACAAAAGATCGGACAATGTATCTACGCGCATTACCACGTTTTAAAATGAATATTTTATATCTTTACAAAGGTTTATTTCATAGTGCTTTCAGTCATTGGCGGAAAAACTGAGATGGAACCATACTGATGGTGACGATCTAGTACTAAAGTTATAAGGAAAAAAAACATTACAAGTCATTTTCACAGGATGAAAATAATATAGATGAATAAAACGTGTTTGACCATCAATGATATCAAAACGTCGGGCTGAGCCGGGGATCGATCCCGGGACCTCTCGCACCCTAAGCGAGAATCATACCACTAGACCACTCAGCCACGTTGAGTGATCCTTTCAAAATTATATTCATTCTTATCACATCGATGAAATCGTGATGGTGAAAAGATTGCAACCATGGAGAGATACGGGCTAGTGATAAGGAGACGCGATTGGTATTTCGTGTATTCTTCACGTCTGACAACCTATCGATTTGGAAATCAATAGTTGATAGATCATTGATTGCTAAATAGCGTGTGAACTGAAAGAACACATCGAGATATATAATATGAATGAAAAAAAAAACGAATTGAAAAAGTGCGCACTAAGAAAGGATGCTTGTAAAGCCAATCAACCATTGAAAATAGTAGAAATGTTTCCTGTGAATGAGTGAAATGTGAAGTGAATGGGCATTTTTTTCAAAGCAGCGCTGTTTCTACTTATCCCCGATGGATGAGGTAGGATACAGATTGAGTGATGAGATGAATCTGCTCTTCAATAATGAACGGACTCAGAAAAGAAGTGCTTTGGCGCGACCTTTTTGCGGCCTCCGCTCAATATGGAACGATTTTGTGCTGTGTGAGTCTTATGCTAAACACAATTATGAGAAAGTTAGTAGTCGATTTAATTCACAATGAAAACCTTTTTTGCCGTTTCGACCGCTGGAAGTAAATGAGTATACACAATCATATAAGCATAATTATGGCACTTCGCTGTTAGAAAGGAACAAACTTTGCTTTGAGAAAGTCATGAAGTAAGGCTTCAACAGCTTACACTCAAACGAGGTTACAACAACGTTTCTTTGCTATCGTACAAAGATAAAATAAGAATGAATAAGCTTTGGCGTTGATCCATCTCATGTGGCGTGATGCGCCTACGCGTTCGTGTTCAACGTCATGCGGTGGAGGTGCTTGAATGCGAGCTTATCTATACAGTGACTTGTCATCTCCTCACCAAATCAGTTATTTTATAAAGATCTCTCTGATACCATTTTAACGAATCCGGGGGGTTGTCGTGCTTAGTAGCCTTAGGAAACGGCCCTGAACTTATCAAGATCTGCGTGTCACTGTAGCCCATTCACCACTGAACCTCTATGATGCATAGAAAAAGTTTGTTTAATTGATTGTCTTCAAACTACTCATGGCAGATTTCATCTCTCTCTCTCTATGAAATGATATTACATAAAGGACATCCATAAAGGGCATGATGGATATTCCATACCAGAATACATAGAAAACAGACCGCATTCTATCAATTTTTTCCGGCAGACGCTTTAAAATCACCTAGTAGAGCGTAGAAGCAGTTATAGGAGCTCAACGCGAATATACGCGCTAAACTGAATCCGTCAAGATTCTTGGATAGTTATATAAGGAGCTTAACAGCGTATTTTCCCACTGTCACAATGGCAGCATCACTGAAGTAATGACTAGCGCTGTTAAATGAAGCCGGAAATAACTTCGGAGAAAGATTACCAACCCTAATTGTTTTTTTACATGACACTCAATGTTACTATAGAATGAGTTATGCTAATGTGATTTCTATATTATGCAAATATGCCGTCAAATTTAATCCACATTTCGACCTTTTTAGACTATAATGAGCTGGAAGTACTACCGTACACGTCAAGTTGACGAAGATTAGCAGGGCTCTATGCTTGATGAGCACAAGGGGGATGGAAGAAAACAGCGTATGAAAATAACAAGCGGTCGAGCTTAGAAATACTATAGGGATTAAACCCGTCTAGTTGGAGCATTTTAAGATTATTTGAGAAGAAGTACATCTCACAAAGTTTAGCTACCGTCGCACGTTCTTCTTCCCTAGTAGCTTGCTAGTATAGTTGTGAAACTTCAGCGCCACCACCGGGTGCCGTGGCGGGCGCCTGTGAGCCAGTGTCTAGGCGGTAGATTGGTGTGGATGGAGTGAGGGGAGGAGTCCCGCGGTGGTCGTGGAGTGCGGCGACCGGGCGTCCGTGTCAAGCGTTGCGTCGCTAGGGTTGTGCCGTCGGAGGATGGCACGACCCGGGCGGTCAAGGAGTGGTGTACGGCTCAGGACCGAAAGGGAGCAGGCAAAAACCACCGCGCGACACAGTGGCCGGATAGCGCCCGTGAGCACCCATCCTATCGCGGCCTCTCCGACACCTTCAGACCTCCAGTCGACTTTTTCTTCCAGTAAAGAAGAAGTATTGTGAGTCACTATTTTGTATTATGGTTTAAGTTGTTTTTATATGGTATTCGTTAATTTTTAATTTGATAAACTTTCAAATTCTGATGTTTTGATTTTGACTACAGAATAATCGTATCCTTTGTCAGTATTTTATATTTTTGGCTAATAAAAAGTTGAAGACGTTCAAGGATTTCTCATTTGACATACTTCAACATATAACGGGCGAACACTAGGAAGATGAGATTTCATTGATTCGATTAATGATGTTGCTAGAAGTATCGACGGATGCACGTAAACCAAATCACCGCTCTGAAAAATGCTTTACGTATATAAAGTAATAAAACAACTGTATTAATCAGTAATAATGAAAATAGTTATTTGAAATATTAAAATAAAAAGAACAATCGTTGTAGTTATATAGTTAGCTTATTAATTATAATATATGATGTGTAACACAGTGGTAAAAGATGCTGTACAGCTGCACATGTTCGAGTTCGCTTTAAGGCTAATAAAGCGTTTCCTTCGTCGAATTGGCGACGAACTCATCAATAAAGACAGGAAGTACTAGGGTACGGTCATTTAAGGCCAATTTATGGGACCATAACCTTGCCCAGTAAACTCCACGATATCACGACAATGTCGAATACGTGACGCAATCCATAAGTATTACAAAGGCGAATGACTTGCCTCATTCTATTTACAGACATAATGATAATACTACTGAGTGGGAATAGTCAGTAATACTCTAGTAGTATTTTTAGTAAGTACTAGTAAGTTCTGAGTCTAGTGAAAACATTATAATAAAGAATAAAG